AGTCAATCTTTTCTTTAATTTTATCCTTTATCTGATCATGGCTTTGAAACAGCCTATCCGAAGTTGTAATTCTTAAATATCAGCAGGTGGCTGTTTAATGATAAATCTGTGTCCATGTTACACCTCACTGTAATCCACATTTCTCTCTGCTCCACCCTCCCAGCCTATAGGTTGTCTGTATGGCCTTTCCACCAGCACTCTTAAGGGCCAACTGCAGGTGCTTGCCCCCCCTGCAATGAGAAAACAGTTTGCTGCCTGTTGCCATGATACCACACTACTTCACAACATCATCAAACCTTAGCGGCACACATTACAAATGTGCATTTATTGCTTCCAGAGTAATTATCTATCTTCAGAGGTAATGATGAATCACCAGGACATTTTAATGACCTGAATCATTAAAAAAGAAATAAGATCAGATTTAACCGATTTATTTTTTATGTAAATGAGTTAAACATAGGGTTGGGTTGGAAAATGACAGCAGCCAGGGAGTAATATTTAATAACACAAGAAATATAATTTCTGAATTTAATCTAACTTTGGACAAGTACCAAACACATCAGTCTTCTGCAGCCTAGAAGGCTCCAACTAATTATTTACTGCTGGTGCAGAGTGCTGTTATGAGTTATTGAATCAATTCAACTGTCACTAAAGGGGAGAAAAATTGTAATTTCAAGTTTAAAAAACTTTTTTGTTAATAATCCCATGAGGAAAGGTTCTTTTTAGGATGTTTGTAGCTTCACATTCATTGCTGGTTCCCTCCAAAAAGCTGCCCAGTACAATCAGCAGCTGACCACAGTTACAAAAAAGCAGCAGAGTGCACCTTGGCTCTGGAGTACCTCATTAAACAGCAACATAGCATTTACTGATGGCGATGCAGTTGGAAGATTATTCAGTCACTTTACCTGCCCAGATTCCCTGTAAGTCTCCAGTGACTTCCGACTTTAGTGACTGTTACAGTTATGAAACTATGATGCTATATGATGCTATGAAGTCAAATGTACCCTGTGGAGCACCACTAGTAGCCCAGTGGAGCAAGGTTTTTTGTATATGAGTTTTGTATGTTCTCGTGCACACACAAGGATAGTTTACAGGCAAGTAAACATGGATGTAAATGTGATGGACAGTCAGAAACAGCTGACAAGGTATGCATTTGTTCTTTTCTATTTTGGTTTTTAAAACAAATAGAAAATAACATCAATATACATTGATCTAATAATACACTGATTTAATTTCATATTATCCCATACAGTGCTCATTACTCAGAAGCGTACGGGGTGGGGTAGGGGCACAGAGAGCAGTGCGGAAGCAAGGAATTGAGTCAGGGAGGCCTATAAAAATGTGTCAAGCTTCATAAAAACATGTTTGTTACCACACTATCAAGTATTAGTGTAGTGCGGATCAGACCATCTTTGTTTCTCATTTTCATCATCAGCTCAATCAAATCAAACTGAGTTTGGAAACAACACTATTAACATGCTCAGAAGACAGCTGAACATCACAAAAATATACTGATGTGACATTGCAGCACTAACCAGTCAGCTACAGCGCAAGATGTGTGACAGAGCACAATAAATGGATAAAGTGGAAAATTAATTGGCTGTGCATAATGCAACAGCCAAGTAAAAGTATTGAGCACAAGTAATTGGGGCATATCTTGAGATTTTAGAAAAATCTATTCATTGACATGTTGAATCTGGCTCCTTTATTTTGAGCAGTGCTTTCTCTGAGGTGAACAGAGCTTTCGTTTCTCCCTTTTTACAACAACAAACCTAAACTGTGTATTGGGTCAGATGGGAATAATCTGCATATTTTTCTTTCTGCTGTAAGACATCTTTCTCCTGTAAATGTTGGAAAGAAAGAGGGGACAATAAAATAAAAGAACTGGGAGAGTCAGATTAATGAGAGTGCAAAGACAGAGAGACAAATAACTGAGGATACAAGCTTGCGGGCACTGAAGTAATGATGCTGTCTCACATTGATTAAGATTTCCCTAACAAAAAAAAAAAAAGAGTGTTGCATCATGCCAGTCACGTAGCGTTTCAATTAGAGATGGTCACATCTGATATTACAAAAACAGTAAAAGCTAATTTTCCAAAGTTAACACGTATCTGCTATTTTTACTTGGTGATAAGCCAAAATGAGGCAATTTGAAAACACTGGTTTTATTACCAGCTATTTTTAACCTCCACATTAATTCTATTTAAAGGGACAGTTTCCCATTTTGAGAAAAACTATTGTTTGCTATCCTCAGGCAGATCAGGGAACAGAACTATTTATAAAGAGTACAGAGATACAGTAGGTCTACGAAAGTTAGCCTGGTTAAAGGTCTCATAGGCTATTGGAAAAAGCTAGCCAAGCTGCACCATAAGTGAAAAGACTGTAAAAGTTAGTATCACGATCATGAGTTGTAGGAAAAAGTAAAGTTTAATGTTTTATAGCTTTCCTCTGAACAATTGAAACCTATCACACTAATTGATGATCAAGAACTAACATATAGCTTCAACATCCTTAAGCCCCATCCTCGGTTGTACATTTCTTTTACCAATTTTTTAAATAAAGAAGGTGTTTGCTTGAAGAATCTCTTGAACATTCTTTTCACTTTTTTGACAGAACAAGGCTAGCTGCCATGGTTACACACATGATGCATGCAAACCTATGTTGACACAGTTTGGACCACTCTGTACTGGGTGCCCTGCAATGAATTTGATCAAAGTTCGCTCGCAGGTCAATATTAGTTGTTGATTGTTCCAGTAAATAAAAGCACTGCTACTGTGGTTCCAGCTACACACTCAAGAACACACACACACTCACAGGTAAGGGGTTGTTCACACTGGCATGGTTATTAAGCAACTAAAAAAATGCAGTTAACACAAACTAGGACAATCAAGACACTACGACTATCACACAGTGACTTTTTAGTCTGGCCTTTCCTGGAGAAGGGGACATACGAGTGCATGGTCAGAGGGTCCAGAGTCAGAGGAAAGATAAACAGACAAGGGCACAAATTACTAATTGACAGCAGCTGCAACTGCAACACTGTGCCAGACACTGCTGACTCTCTCCCAAGAGAACTATTGTAAATTAGTTATTTAGACAAATTTATAGCACAATTAAACAAGCTGATAAGTTTTTAAATGCCTGTGCCACTGCTGAGTCCACTAAACCAGAGCTGGTGCATCTCTAAATGACGTTAATTAGGTTACTTTTCAATGCTGCAAAATTAGGGCCTTGGGCAAACCCCTAATACAGGTCTCATTGGCAGATGCTACTCCCAGCTGTAAGCGAATATTCGTAAATCAATCATCAATCAGTCCATGAGGCACTGCTATGTGGCCAGGTCCATGTGTAAATCCACACATAGAATCAGACTTTTATACTGTGATGTGACTGACACCTCTACCGTTTTGCCCTTAGCAAATACATCAGCAAATCAATTGCTGTTGGAGAAACTCCACGTCTGCTCTCTGGGTCATTGAGAGATAGTTTGACGGTACATTAGCTGGTTTTATTGCCTCTGGCCCAAGCTCATCTCTCTCCATTAGTGATGTGACCAGAAAGTAAGACACAGGTCTCCAGCATGTCTTGAGAAGGAGGGTGTGGTACTGAGTTGATCAACCTCCCACTGTTTTGTTAAATCAGTCCACCAAGCCATATAGGGCTGATAAATACTAATGTTGTTTGAATGGAAACCCATTAATCTCTACAGCCAAAGACTTGCATTGATCAGGCACATGTGGTGAATATAAGATGCCTTGAAAATCATTCCCTCATAGTGTTTAGACACTGGCGACTGGCAGATATTTTCACCAGTTTCAGTCATACCTCAGTCTATATAGTCCACCTCTGGCCAAAACAAAGATGAGGTAAGTGAGTGCTGTGCCAGCTTGCACCTGCTGACTATCAATACATGAGTTTAGTGCCATTAGACTGCTCCAGCAGCAAATATTCCGTAGGGGAAAATTAGAAACATGAAGGTCCTATGCCAATGCCTCCACCCCTTTCTTCTTCCCACAGGAGCAGCATCAGCCAGCTGTGTGTCACGAGTGGGCACAGCATATACAGTTGGCCACCTGTGGCGACCGTGCCTCTTTATGGCCCGTTGCCCGCTAGAAGCCAATCAATCAGCCCAGAATTACAGGGTGCGTTTGGTAGGAGCTAACGGTGCTCGATTATATGCTTGCTGCATTTGACACATCCATAGTTAATATGTAAGGTCACCCTAGGTTATGTGTGAATATAGGTTAGGTTTGCACATAATCCCCTATAATGTCTCTGATTGCACATATCATTAATGAATTGTTAATTGTTTTCAGAAATACATACTGTGTCAATTTCAAACTCAGATTTCTGATTGGGGTAGAAGGATATGATCACCAGTCCCACCTTTATCACTGGACTTTGTTCCCATTGCATGCACACGACCATGACTCGTGGATTGCTATGGTTGGAACGTGGAGATACAATGAAAGGCACAGGGAAATAAGAGCCACACCCACAGCAATACAGCTACTCCTCAAGAGGAACTTTCCAGCCAGGTAAGCCAACCTCAAGATGATCTGACAAGAGAACAGATTGCCAAAAGCACTGTGGGAGTCACTGCAGTTTCCCTCCCCAGTAAGAAAACCAAAACAGTGAACTGTTACTCCTTGGGTCAAAGGAAACTCCACCTTATAATTTGAATGGTACCAGTTGATTGCGTGAAAATAAATATAGAAACAGGCTACAATACATTTAGACTTGACGCTCAATCCCCATGCATGATATGTTCTGTTCTCAGCAGTATTGTTGTCTCAGTGTGAAAGGCGCACAGCTCATATCATTACCCTATTAACATTAAAGTAATTACACTGTAAGTGTGGGCAGAATTATAAATGCAGGTTTAAATGTCTATCTTCATCTGTGGTATTGAGAGGGTGGAGGTGAGCATAGATGACAGAGAGAGAGAGAGAGAGAGAGAGAGAGAGAGAGAGAGAGAGAGAGAGAGAGAGAGAGAACGAGAGAGTGTATGTGTGTAGGCTACTGTATGTATGTGAGTGTGTGTGTGTGTGTGTCTGTTATAGTGAGTGAGGCTTGAGGAGGGAGCGACAGACCAGGAGGAGAGTGGACTGAGAGAGCAGCACATTGTTCACACTCGACTCAAGACAATAATCCGTGTTTACACCAGGGAATAGCAACAAGGGAATACATCAAAGGTAAGATATTTTATGCTCTTTGGAAAGCGAAATATCACAAGTTCAGGGACAAATCACTGTAAAGTATATCCATTATGTGTTTTTAAAATCACTGAATCATTCAGAGTATAATCAACCAATTAATTCACTTTTAAACTTTTTCTTCAATTCTGGTTATCTCAACAGTGTCAGTTTTTGAAATAATAACTATCATCTTGTGATTTTGCACTTTTATTATTTTATTATAAGCTAATATAATTAAGTGAACATGCATGATCTGAATACTGATTATAAGAAAATTCTATTATAACATTTTGTTAATAAATAGCTTGATTTGTTGTTTCATTTTAAGGACAGCACACATTTTTTTTGACATTTCTGTTACTATAATATTAATGAAACCAACAATAGGATTTTCTTACTTACAAGACTGAGGCTATAATTTAATTTGTCTAGTAAGTCACCTTCATTTACCTAAGTGTCGTCTTTCTGTTATAAAGCCACTGCCAGGTTGAACGTAACAGGATTGTGGGGGAAAAAAGTAATTTTACTAAAACCACTGAAATTTAATAAGATCTACACAAGAATGAAAAAAATGTATGTCTGTTAAAAATCCCCAAATTATTTGATTCTTCCTTTATAAATGCAACAGTGTTCTGTTGGCTCATTCAGCCAAAAATAATACAATATAAAGTCTGAACACAATTAGGACCTTTGTTGTGTATCATCTCTCTCCTAGACTCTCTTGCTCCCTTCTACTTTTAAATTTGTAAAAATCCCAAAAATAAATAAAAAGAAAACAACAGTGACTAGAACATCACATCATCTTTGAGTAATAATTGTGAGGATAAATATTAAATAATGTTGTGAGAGGTGCAGTGTGCCTAAACAGAATAGAGAGACAGAGATGTTCTGTGTCATCAGTGCATCAAATGATGTATGGAAATGTCCTTGTTGTTATTAAAGTGATACCTTAAAACAACTTGTGGGCAGAGAGGAACACAAGAGAAACTCTATTCGGGTTTTGCACAATTCCCACAGATTTGACTGCATGGAACCATAAAACATTCATGCACTTAAACACATGTAGACCCACAAAGTAATGATATTTTTGACTGTCATAGGAAGCAGTGTGCTGTTGACCTCGGTGCGAAAGCTGGAGCAGGTTAGGTTATTTTGATCTATCCACTTTTCTCAAGGCAGATAGATAGGATTTCGACTTAATATGTAGATTATTCATGAAATCATTCTTAGAATCTCATGTACGAAGGTTGACAATTGTAGGCTATATTTGTATTATTGTGTCGGGGTGATTGCCTATTTCACGGATGCTACAAAGTTTTGTCGTTACTCCAGTGCCAAAGCCGTTCCTAATCACTGACTGGCTGAGCTGTATACTGTAGGCACAACTTGTAACAACCAATCACTGTGAAAGCCCTGTGTGTTACTGCCTCCAGTAAAAATAATAGTAATGGTCGTATGCATGAAACAAGCTGTTTTGTAAACTAATTTGTATTGTATGTTTACAGAAATAAAAAGGCAATGCATGTAGTTACTTGATAAACAGAGGCTTTGCTGAGCACTGTAGCTGCACACCAGCCTTAAATCATTACATTCAAAAGCAGAGCATGAGCTCTCTTCATACTAAACTTTATTGATCATCCCTGGAGATCAATAAAGTATAATCTACCACCTAACCTAGGAGATTTCCATCTGTGGCCAACAGGTGATCATATACAACAGTTTGAAATCCTTTCCCACAGCCACTTTCTTTCATTAGTTTTAGGACAATGCGTGTTGTGACTTTGTTTCACTCATTTTGGGTGAAATGAGTCGGACATGGCGGAAAAGTCTGAAGGCATTAAAATACTTTTTGTCATGAATGACTGTTTAAGAAAAACCAATTGAAGGCATATTTAATCATTTATAACATATAGCACTTTTCTGTATAGACATAATTTAAAACAAACTGCAAATTGTATTTAGCATTAAAATATTGTAATGAGTCCAAAATCTATGAAACCTAGAGTTTCTGAGACTTTTGAGATACACAACTTACAGGACATTCATGAGAAAAAATATGTTGTGTCATCCATAAATGCAACAAATCCACTGTAGATGCTGTATACCGCATGACTAAAATATTCATTACAGTAGTGGATCTATATTTATAAAGCATACTATGTTATTCTTTAGAATATGCACTTGCATGCTACAACCCAAGATTGTCTATTGGATTTCTGTCTGCAGAAGAGTCTAATATAATAAAACACTCAGGGGATTTTTTTTCAGGATCTTGTCAGTAAGATGGACAAGCACTTGCTTGCCTGATGGATATCTGGATCTACAGTGTGAAAATCTTGATCAGTCCTTTAAAGCACAGTAGTGGCTGCAGCCTAAAGTCACATGAGTGTATGGTAATTCTTTGTAGTGCTGCTGCATTATACTGACAACACGCCTACAACAAGCTCATTGTCTGTCTGGATTGAAGGCTTTAGTCAACAGACACAAAATGCATACTGATGAAATACATTATGCAGCAGCCTCTGCCAGAGATAGAAAACTGACTGACATATGTAAATGTATGGAAAAATCATTGTGGTGTTTTCCTGCTTACCAGTCATTCATATGTATCTGAAAGGAAAGCATTATTTTTCTTTTTCTTCGTTTTTCTCATTATCCAACTTTCACTTGGAAGAATGTCCAATATTGTTCCACTTTATCTCCAAATTTACATCAGCTGACTAATGCTAATATCACTGGATTACATTTAAATCCTGTAACATCTCTTTGTAAATCCTTCCCAGAATTTCCTCTGTCAAGCACAATCAAATTTCCTTTATATAAACGTATGGAATTATCAACATGACAGATAAACTGAACGTATAAGTTCCTATAAAGCTCTTCAAATGACTTCCCTCCAACCGGAACTTCAGTCTCCACAGATTATATATGTAATGAGTCATTGCTGTCTGATGTGTGTTCCTTTGAACAGCTGACAGTACTTCTCAAGGTCATACTGCTGGCAAAGAGAATTTGCTGATTTGTTCCTGCCACTGTAATGCACAAGCATTGGCCTAAAGGTTATGCTCGCCAACAAATCTAAGCTGCCTTTAAAGGAATAGTTTGACATTTGGGGAAATGTGATATATACTTTTTTGCCAAGAGATAGATAACAAGATTAATACCACTCTCACATCTGTGCAGTTCATTTAGGGCCATAGACAGCAGGCGTTTAGCCTAGCTTAGCACAAAGACCGAAAATGGGCAAACAGCTAGCCTGGTTCTGTCCAAAGATAGCAAAATCTACTTATCTCTAAGGCTTACTCAGTAAAATATTATATTTCATGCTTTGAATCTGGATTGTCTACTGGTTGCCTGGTTACCGGTCCCTGCCAAGAAAGTCTGGCACATAAAAAATGGCAAATTTTCTTTATTGCACTTTTGCAGATTTCACCCATTTCCAAAATTTTTGAACTATTCCTTTAAGCAAATCACAGTATAGCTGCTTAAGTGCCAAGAGAGCAGACTGTGTATAGGGCAAATTCCAGGTACAAATTGTGTAACACTGTGTTTGCCCATGAAATCTGCCCCAGATAAATAATGGACCGAATAATTTGGTAGCTAATACTATTAAGCTTACCTTCCTCTGTCACTTTAATCTCGTGACTCTTTGAGTACATACTGTAAAGTAAATAGAATGGATCTGAACAAACTTGGATCAGCAACACTGCTATTCATTATGTGCTGAGTCACACAGGGAATAGAGCCCCCACTGTGTCACTGCCACTTTCCAAATAATAAGAATACCACAGAAGACATTTTAGCATGGTCTCCAAAGCCTCCCCTTCTATATTGACCCCATGTCAATGTCCTTCTGTCAGTGAAAGCTTTTTTACTGATTGGACAGTTTCAAAAATGCTAAAATAGGTTCAGCAATATGTTCCATATTGTTTGATTGTCAATAAATGCCACGAAAAAACGAACAGTGGATTGATCCTACTAACTAATTTGTTGTGTACAAATGATGTGTACCAATGATGTGAAAAAATGTACTATTTACTCGTGTTTGAGTTATATTTGGCCCAGGTATTTTAGGAAATTTATCAAGGTGTTTTTTGTTTTTGTTTTTAAATGGAGCAAATTTGTCATGCATTTTAAACCTGTATTTAATGTCACGTCACCTATATTAGTCATGCTGGGTAGTTGAGTACAAATGATCTACTGGTACATAGTATGTGTCTTTAGTAGTGAACTGTTCAGCAGCTAGTTGCTAACCTTGTCTTTCTGCAGTTTGGTGCTGAGCAGGTAGTGTTGACAATAAAGAAAAAATTAATAACAGCCACTTGATGTTCAGGGGTCAGCATTGGTCTTCAGTCTCCCACTATATCTCTCACTGCAGATTTGTCGACTGTATTTTACAGAGTAGTGGCTTGCATCCACAAAACAATCTCTTTGATGCTCACTTTGCAATTACTTTCAAGAAAATTTTTCATATTTGTGTTCATTGAAGCACCCAGGCAAAGCTTGTGATGATTTTGAGCTTTACTACAAGGGCAGGAAACAGATGGCAGTTCAAGTTCATTCAATTACTCTCTGTTCACTGTCAGAAGTGAATTCAAAACTCATTGGCAGAAACAGCAGTCATAGCTAATCTAATTCTGAGTTTTGGGAATTGGTCAGGAAACATGATGAAGAGAGATGAATGTCAAGATGTGAGACAACTCCTTCCTCATTTGTGCTGACACAAGTACAGTTGCAGTAATCAACAAAACTTTGATTCCTGTTCAACCATGATTAGAAATCTATTTTGTACAAATGTCATTCCCAACTAGACTTTATTCTGATAAGTGTTCAAAACTTTTGCTCTAAAATGACATTTAATACTGATGTCTGTTTGTATTTTTTTTTCAGATAGCGAGTCTGACTACTTCACCATTATGTCCGCTCCTGACAACTGCTCGTTGTATCTAATGGTTGACAAAGATGAATGGCTTTGTCCTCCTGGGGAAAAGTGTACCAACCAGACCTCTGGGGTGAGCGGCAGCCACATGGATCTGGATGATGCATGTCTGACAAAGTACCTGGAGGAATATCTGGGTCCTCGTCGGTCATCTGTGTTCCTTCCCGTGTGCCTCATCTACCTGGTCATTTTCATGATAGGTGTGGTGGGGAATGTGCTTACATGCACTGTCATTGCACGCAACAAAGTGATGTGGACGCCAACAAACTACTACTTGTTCAGCCTGGCAGTGTCAGACCTGCTGGTGCTGCTGCTTGGCATGCCATTAGAGCTGTATGAGCTGTGGCAGAACTACCCTTTCCTCCTGGGAAAAGGTGGCTGCTACTTTAAAACATTCCTATTCGAGACTGTTTGCTTGGCCTCCATCCTCAACGTGACGGCGCTGAGTGTGGAGCGTTACATTGCTGTGGTGCACCCGCTACGAGCAAAGTATGTTGTAACACGCACCCATGCCAAACGGGTCATCCTTACAGTGTGGGGTGTGTCCGTGTTGTGTGCTTTGCCTAACACAAGTCTGCATGGGATCTACATCCTTCAAAGTCACTCCACCAGCCCTGCTGGAAACATAACCTTGGACATCCCTGACTCAGCGATCTGTATGCTGGTGAAACCGCGCTGGATGTACAACCTGACCATCCAGGTGACCACCTTGCTTTTCTTCTTTCTGCCCATGCTCACCATCAGTGCTCTCTACATGCTCATCGGGCTGCAGCTGAAGCGGGAGAAGATGCATCAGGCACTGGAGGCGAAGACGGGCTTTGGACAGGACAGCTTCTGTAACATCAGAACACAGCAGCAGAAGGCACGTCGAAGGCAGGTCACTAAAATGTTGTGTGAGTACCAAACCTTTCTAATCTTGGTTTTTTTCTTTACTAATACTCTTTTCCTTTAATCTTAAAAAGAGCTATGTGCTTATTCACCTGTAAGCAGACCTAAATTAGAGCCCGATTGATACTTGTTTTAAAAGATGAGAAACTTTAATTCTAATAAAAAGGCACTATCTTGGAACATATCCTTGCCAGCTGTAATCCCATAGTGCTCCTTGTGAAAGATAAGACACTTCCTATTATGAAGCATAAATCTTCATAACTTCCTCTGTCCCAGCCGGGTAATAATACAGCTTTTTTGCACTTTCCAAATTTTATTGGACTGCATGAATCTAATTATGATTATTTAGCCTCACATCCCAGAGCTGTTCCTGGGGGCGTGTTTACCCCACCAGATAGAGAGCAAAATTGGGCAGAGTCATTGGCGCCCATTTATTTTCTATGAAAGCCGCAAATACATTGCAAGGTGCAGCATAGGGAGGCCAGTGTTGACAAATGATCTCACCATACAGAGGGCAAAGTTCAAGTAAATGTAGTTCTGTCAGGATTAGTCAATTGCTCTGTCAAGGGAAAAGTAATAGTGAACAATTTTGATACTTGATTAATATTTCAGGTCGTTTATCAAACATAAATTCCAAACATTCTCTGGTTACAGCCTCTTAAATGTGACCTTATGCAACTTTTCTCTGTTTCATGTTATTGTAAAGTGAAAATCTTTCAGTCTCGACTGGTTGATTGGACAAAGCAAGTCACTTAAAAAAAATGACATTGGGGACTTCTAACTTTTTTTGTACAGACTAAACAATTAATATATTAATTAATTAATTTCCTGTCAAACAATTAACTGTGACCTAAAAGGAGAGGAAAAATTAAACCAGAAACCACCAGTCACACCTGACATGTGTTGTCTATTTAATGTAAAAAAGCTGCTGCACCCATCTGTGTCATTGGGAATAGACAAATATGTTAGAAGTGAAAAGAGAAAAGATATGCGATCTGATATGCTGATGAAAATGTAATCCATAAGGCTATTAGATTTCCCCAAAACATGTCGTACTGATACTTGACAGTTGCTTACGCACATGAATACATTTTGATATAATGATAAAACACCAACCATGCAGAGATCAACTGGTTTCCTCCATGTGACAGAGACACAACCAGATCTAACAGCCCACAGGTGCTTTTGTATCGCTCAGAGGTGAAGGTGAAAGCAAATTTAGAGGTGAACGTCTTTCATACTGCATAAGCATGAGCTGTTTGAAGATATTAATCTATAATGCTATGACACTGATTTACACGCTTGGCTGCACAGGCACAGATGTTGAGATTCTATTGGATCACCTCTCTTATCAGCTTACTAAAGAACAGAACAAATAACCTTGTGGGACACGGATGCAACTTTATACAATTTATTGAATACTTTTGTCTAGACTTCTCTTCAGAGACATCAACAGTGAGACCTCTGGGGTTGTGATCTTTATTTCAAGCAATATTTTGCCAAGATACAATTTAGAGTTTGTTTCTAGCCAACCTTTCAAAAGGTCAGAGCATCCCTAGAAGATTTTCATCAGTATGAGTGAAATGATGGAAGCCTAAAGATCAGAGAAGGTATGCAGTTCAAATCCCAACAACGTTTAAAAACAATGCCTCAAACAACTCCAACTTTGTATCAACTCATAGGAGATTGTGTATGTACAAAGTGTAACTGCATGAATTTGAAGAACAAGCATGCATGACAAATGAGTAGACTAAAAAAGGTAAAGAAGGTATTTACAGTGCATGGTTGTATAATGAAACTGGCTGACTGGGAGATGCAGAGTGCTGCGATCGGCTCAAGGTCTGCTGCACTTAATCCAATACCTGCACTTCTTTTTCCGATGTTGATGAGTGTAAATCTATAAGCAACATGTGCTTCAGTAATGAAGAAAAAATAACAAATTAAAAGAAAAAGGTAGCTAAGTTGAGGGAGCTAATGGCCAGCACATCTACATGCACTGCTCTTGCCATGCCTTCTAATTCTGTTTCAAGAACTTAGAGTGAATCAGAATAATGTCTGCATCAATCAAAATGCGCAATTAACTTTTAAACCACAATGAGAGAGGAAAATGTAAGCATTGTGAGGGTTCAGTAGCCTTTATTCATTTTTTGGCTTCTGATGATGTGTTTAAGTCATAACTGGTGTTAAATTTACATAGCCTTTCATGAGGGCCACTCCAAAACCAGGAGAAATGTTAAGGACGAGTACTGGGACCCATACTAATGATGTGAAACACAGATGAATCATAAATTATGAATCTAAAGATTTATTTAACACTGGTGTCTAGAACTAAATCAAAGCCTGTGTGGCCAGGACAGAATATCTCTCCATCACTGACACACAGCCCCTAGAGGGACGACTGAATTGAGACCAGAGAGAACATGTTGGCAACATCAATCAATGCTTTTAAATCATTCCCCTTCTCTCTCTTGCTGTTTTTCCAGTTGTTTTAGTGGTGGTTTTTGCAATCTGCTGGGCCCCGTTTCACACTGACCGCCTCATGTGGAGTTTCATCAATAACTGGACTGACAACCACCGGGAAATCTTCCAGTATGTGCACATCATCTCTGGAGTGTTCTTCTACCTCAGTTCAGCAGTCAACCCAATCCTGTACAATCTTATGTCCACACGCTTTAGAGAAATGTTCAAGGAGGTCATGTGCCATCGGCCACACCACATCACTCCCAGGAAACACTCGCTCAGTGTCACCCGGGTGACGCTCCGCAGCACCCTAAGTGATGCGCCGTTCAGCAACGGAGCAGCTGTTGTTGAAGCCGAGGCAGAAGATGGAGAAGTAAGGATGAAAGATGAGACCACTTTTACATGTTAAACAAAAACTTGGGTTTGTCAAGGGGGACACATTGTTGGTAGGAGAGTATGATGTTTAGAAACACTGTCCCGTTCGGAGCCACCGCATCCATCAACTGTCATCAACATCCACTTTGAGCAGGTGCATTATATAACAACCTAAAATAGTCTGAGTGGAAGGAATCCAGAAAAAAAGCTGTAAGACTGCAGTGTAAGTGTTAATATGCTGCTTTTCAAAAACTTTATTTGAGCTCAGCAAATCACATTCTGAGGCTGAACTGCAAACTTTTTCAAACACACTTGAGCAGGTTTAGATACACATTCAAACAATTTCTTAATGATGGAGGAATCTACACTAGAATGTCATCTTAAGTTCAACAATGTAAAGAATATCCAATGTTACAATAGGACAGAATAGAATAAACTGTATTGACCAAGAGGGGACATTTGTCTTGGGCACAGTGTTCAATGTATGAAAGCCATTTCAAAGAAAAGAAAAATCTGGGCAAACATTTTGGTTTTGGAAAATGTGTGCAAATGATGACAATATAGTTGAGACGATTCAGGTGATTAATGAATACAAAAGTTGGTCAAAGAAAGAAATAGGTTGAAAACGTTTAAATACTTGGTCATGTAGAGTAACGATATGTTAAACACAATAGTGTAAAGTAAAAAAAAAAAAACTTTCTGGGTTAAAAAGGCCCGATATGTAAATATTGATGATGGATGGACGCATTAGATAAATAGCTAAATAATAAGTAAATGTCTTTTTTTTTTTACAATACTGCTTCTATAATCGTCCATGATGTAAGGGGTGAAGCACACTGTACAGTATGTACCATAATAATCTGTATCAAATAATTTGTATTACAAATGACAAAGATTCATATCACTTGCATTGTTCTGTAAGGATATATACTGTATACGAAATTGCTATGTTCAGATTACAAAATGGTTGTCAGCCCTGTGTACTGCTTTCAGTGTTTATACATGTGTTTAAGTCATTTCTGCTACTTGTCTTAATGCTTTTTATTGCCCAAAGTGTACTACAAATTAAATAAAGTTTCAAATGCTTTTAAATTATATGATTAACTTTTAGATGATAGGTCCACTTGCAGAAACATCATAGAATCAGATCAATTTTCAAAATAAAATATTGTGTGCAGACTCCAGATCTAATTTCGTGCTAGATCAACATTGTGGCACTAGACCAAAAGTCAATCAGTGAGAGGCACACACCGAGAGAAACACACCATTTGTATCCTTTTTAGGAATAAATTACACAACCACATATGGCTTTGAAGACGTGCAGATCACAGAGCCAAACCGTGTCGCAGACGTCACGTTATAAAGTGGTGCCCAGTGGAATTTCGGGGTAGTCCCTTTGCTGCATGTCGTCCCCTAAAAAAAAAACCCTGACAGGGCTGTACCCCACCTCCATCCATGGGAAGAAGGTTGAGCAGGTTAGCAACTTCAAATATTTTATACTCATTATAGCCAATAAATTCAGTTTTGATCAATACCACTTCACCATCACTTCTATCCATAAAACGATCCCAGCAAAGACTCAATGTCATCCGTAAACTCAGAGCACTGTCTGTTGCTCCCTGTCTCCTGTTTCATGTTAACCATCTCCAACAAAAACAAACCAGGGCACCCTGGTAGCTCACCTGGTAGAGACCTTGCTGCAGCGGCCAGGGGTTTGAATCCAACCTGTGGCCCTTGCCCTGCGTGTCATCATCACGTCTCCCCCCATTCCTGTCAATATCTAAAGCTGTCCTGTCAAATAAAGGGATAAAAATCACATCACATGTGTTGCCTCTAAAAAGCATCTCGCTCACAGACTTGAGAGAAAGAGCTGTCACATGCCTAGCACTCTCAATAGCAAGTGATCAGCCCCTCAATCAACACTTCACGTTACTGCCATCTGCTCGGAGATACAGGACTTTAAAATGGAAAGAGGTCGCTTCAGCAGGAGTTCTATCTCTTCTGCCAGAGCAACCCTGAGCAAACTGCCTTGCTGACACTGCTATATGCTGGGATATATGAACGTAGACGTGGAGATTTTTTTAATGTATTGTCTATATCTGTATGTTTCTGTGTAAACCGTGAAAACAAATCGCACTCTTGGACAATAAATCTGAATCTACACAATTCAAGTTAAATGTTAAAAGGGAGTTAGAGTTTTTCACAACTGCTAAAACACATTTCTTGAAACCTGCCAACCTCTCCTCAAAGCTGTGAACACAAAACCCAACCTTCGAATTCACAGAACCTCTGACTTCTTTGGCACTTGGCAACTTCAAAATCACCTCAAAACCATTTTATCTGTGCTTTAAAACAAAAAATACTTTAAGATCACACACACAGCCAGTCACTATATACTAAACACTGACACAGTGTTCAGGGCATGTAGCTGCAGAATTTGTATTGTGGTAGACACATTTTGCATTTTCAAAAAACTATAAAGAAAGTTTGCATTGCCAACTCAGTACAGAACATATTGTATAGTGTTCTGCAAGCAATACAGTAATACAAACAAAGGATTCAATCTCAGCCTCACATCTTTGTGCTGGGAGGACTTCATCTACATCTCAGGCAACGGGGGTCAAACCCACTGTTGTGCCGGATCCAGCCTTGACAAGACTCCACATCTATGTCACTGCAGGCCAAGTCTATTTCCTCAACCAAAACTATTTGGTTGAGGAAAGGAGAGTATGGTGGAAGACAAACACGGTTGATATTGAACAATGCATATCTGGATTTTATTCTGGTCAACTCATTTAATCACATCAATAGAAACATGTGTGAACAATTTTGAGTAAACAATGATAACTGTGTTCAGCTTGTGCCGTCTGTGTTTACCATTTTGCAACACAAGTGCATCACAGTACAGAATGTGTTTTAGCAAGTGAAAATGATTTTCAGAGCTTTGCCAAAAGAGTAAGTGATTCAATAAATGGGTTTAGGGCACATACAGGAGCATTTGATTCAGAGAATTGGGTTTAGTGTTTTAGCAATTGTGAAAAGCTGTAAAAAGACAAAATGAGAGACCAATAGGTCCCGAACATGACAATATAAATGGAAAAATCCTCAGTGTCTGACATTGCTATTCAAAGCATTTCATGCAGAAGGGGTCAGAAGTCCAACGAAGATGTTTCTCACTTGTCACATGTATTCACAGGTATTATCTGAGGCCCTGCTCTAAAAGAAGAATCACAGTGGGAATCGCTTTTGGAAGTCTTTATAAACTATCAAATCTCTCAGAGCTGACAACCTCAGCAGTGCTGGAGGCAGTGCAGGGTAGTTTCAGGTACTGTTTCTGTCCACACTTATTTTTCAGAAATATGCCGTGTTGTTGCTAGGGATGTCTTGATGAGGTTTTTTTAAGACCCAGATCTAATCAGAGTCATATAATATTAAGTATTTGCCAATACCAAGTCCCGATCCAATACTTTTATTTTACACAATAAAGTGTAAATTAACAAACCCTCTCTGTAGCCTTTTTGGGACTTTTGATTGTATGGAGGGAGTTTCTTTCTCTAGTGTTCGGTGCTTCAGTTCAGCCTCCGCCTGAGTTACCTGAATCAACTGTCTGTATTCTGCTGCTGAGTGTTTATTTCTGTTGTCTGTACATTTTTGCAGATTTCATGTTGTTTCAGTTTCAGTCAGAAAATACTACTCAAAGTTTTATGTTGAAATTAAGCAGCTACTAAGACAGAAACCACAAGACTGAAAACCTGATTTAAATCACACACAGGAGACAACCTTGCACAGACCTTACACAGCATTGACAACAAAATTGTTACAGCTATGAATCCTCCACAGTGGAAGAGTGAATCTGTATGGATAGAGTGAATTAATTTCTCCTTTTCGAATAATGTCAAGGAGGTACCCATGGAAATTGCTTTTGTTCCAGAGCACCTTGTGGCAGGTATATACGGTTGATGATGGTGAAACCTCTGGTCTAACAGAGCCCTAGAGAGAAAGACAAGTACATCCATTACGTTCTGCCTGAAGTGCAGAGGGAGGATTTAGAAACATACTTTTTGTAGTTCTATTGCCTCATAAAAGAGCTCAAATCAAAATACAGGCTGCAGTGCCATGTCTAATGGCACTTAACCCACTGTTTATTGTTTGTTTGCCTGTCGTTAGCAGTGTTGAAAGAAAATCAGAATGAAGAGGTTAAGAAGTTGGGGTCATTCCTGCGTCGCCATGTTCCTTCACAGATGTATATGGCACCCAGGGTCCTATGTTGCCAAGTACTAGGATTAGTTATGGTTAGTCCGAGTAAGGGGACTTACAACCCTGGGAACACAGATGCACTCCACATAACATTCACCTTTTATATCTGTCCCTATGCTTAACCATATATATAACATATAGGTCATAACCTTGTGTTTGTCTACCCATCACCATATTGGAGCTGCCACATTAGAATTGAACATAATCATGTGTTTTGCTGAATCTTCCAGTATCAGCGTTCTCGCCTGGTGATACGGTTGTAATTCCTGACATTATGTGGGAATAACAACTCAATCTGTTTTTGTTCAGTTTTTTTTATGCAACTTAATTTTCTTAATTAGGTGATCAAACACAGCCGTGCAGGTTTAGAGTTGAGTCACCAAAGAAGAAAAGGAGGAGAGTGAGATAAGCTCATCAGAATATCTTTTCCATACACCATGTCCCTCTGTATTTAAAGTGTTTCTTTTGTTACTGTAGAATTAATTTAATTAATTAATTAATTTCTGCGCACTCCGCTAATTCATTGTGATGACACTCACCGGAACCTCTCATACTACATTTAATGTACTTTCTTTCACATTTTCTTAAAAGTATTTCATAACAGACGTTGGCCTTCAGTACACAGTTTAATGTAAGAAAACCTTTCTTTTGCTGCTTAGTTGCTGCTTATTTTTTAGATCTTCATCATGTTTAACAAAGACTATATTTAATGCAGTGGTCTCGTCTGATCACTGTAGTTCCACAGCTAGATCATTAAAGTTGTCTTGTCTTACCAAGGAATTTTATAAGGGCATTACACGTTTCAGTATATACAGTAATTGCAGAATAAGCAGTGAACTTGTAGCATGATTCATCTGATCACAACACTTCAACTACACTTACATTTACACTTTGTGGGCATTTCTTCTTCCTATAAATATTTAATTCAGGGTATTATTGCACATGCCACCCCCCTAGAAGAATTGATGGTATGTAGGACATTTGCACGGCACAAATATCCATCTTGGAAACACAATGTGTTATCTTCTGGCCCTCAGTCAGATGAATAATAAGGGTATTTCACTGGAGGCTGTAACTTGGTGAGATTGCCTCAAAAGCTTTAAATACCAAAAAAAAAAGGCTTTAAATTACACCTTTAGGGTAAGTGAGAGATTCAGATTCCTCTCAATCAAGATTTTGTACCTTGAATATGAAATTACAGAGGGATTGTGTTGTCAGCATGCATTAGTTACTTAGAGTGTGCACATTGAAAATCAAAGGAAATCTATTCTCTTATTCACCTTGCACAATGCACTTGATAAGACTATTATGTGACTGCACTCAGTCTCACTACCGCTAATATAACTTGCACACGATGATATTTAAAGAAGATAGGCTGTTCTTTAAATGTCACTGTTTCTGTCATTCTGACTTTCACACCTTGTCCCTCAGGATAATCCAACTAAAAGGTTTTGTCTTCCATCTGCTCCACCACCAACAGCGTCTAGACTCCAGGGGATTCCACCTCCTATCTTCATAGAGCTTTGCTTAATGAAGATATATCACATCGCAAGGGTCTTGTAGCGACAGTTTTGCTTTTATTAATCTTACTGAAATAGCACTTAAAGGTTATATATATATGAATTTCACTTGCCACTAGATGTCCCACATAGTTTGTTATTTACCCAAAAATACCAAACAATAGAAACGTCTAGGCCTATAAAAGAGGTCAACAAAATATAACTATACTGAAAACAGCATACAGCAAACAGAGTATGAACTGAACAAACTGACCTGACCAAATGAGACACACAAGGGAACATATATAGTGGCTTGGCCAAACCAATTTACACACA